ATTTTTCCAAGTGCACAAAACAAGGATTTGGAATTTAAAGCATTAGTTACCTGGATTACAGCAAAGATAGGAGCCTAAAGGAAGAAAAAAAAAAGTGTTAGACATGGCATAGCAGGCTTTGTCTGAATCCAATCTGAATGCTTCTGGTACATATTTGGTTTAGTCTTGGTAATGTGTGATTTCTTTTAGTATTCCATAGCAGTCTTAGAATTATTGTTACAAATATTTTATTATCTTAGTTGTTGTAAGTATGCTTTTTTGTTCTGTGCCCATTTTTTCAAACACTACTTTTTAAAATTAAATGAGAAGGAATTGCATTAAATGGAATATTTAGAATCAGAATGTGTAGCTTCATAGTTGTCTGTTCCATAAAATGGTGTGTAGCTGCAGTTACATTTCCTGTCTTAAAGAACTTGGGCTGAACATATTTTCTGGCCTTGAAAATCAGGGTTTCTGTTAGTTCTTGGGCTAAAGTGACTGTCTAAGTTAAATAGCTGAACAATTGCCTAAAAATATTTTTTACATAGGAAGATATATAAAAAATTTAGAACTTGATTTAAACTTACATCAGTAGTGAGTTTAAACCTTTAAACTTCTATTATATTTAACATTGAGTTTCACCTATTTATGCCAGTTCTATTCATTTTTCATAATTACATGAGAAGGAATAATTAAAATTAGTGTTTTTCTGTTTTAATTATGATTTCTAGTACACATATAACTGATGTATAGCTTTGTGGGCTATGGAATGTTTTTTAAGGCATACATATAATATACAATAATCAAATCAAGAATATATACACATTTTTTTTTCAGCATTTAGCATTACATTATATAGTGCATCATGTGTTAATGGTTCTAGAAGGTTTTTAAAATAGGTATTAATGTCCATAAAAAACAGTGGTTCTTAATACATTGTGGTGCCTATATATGAAATTTCCTCAATTATTATCCAAATATTTCCCAACCACCTTAAAGTCTACCTCATATTAACCTAGCTCACTTCTGATTAAATGAATTCTGAACTTTCTGGTGCCTTAAGAACATAGTCATACCTGTGGGACCACCAGGTGGTGTGGTGGTTAAGGTGCTGGATACTCCCACATGGCCGACCATGGTTTGAGTCCCAAACCTGGTGACTTGCTTTCTCACTTTCCCTCTCTCACGTCCTCTCTCTCTTTCTCTCTCTGATCAAATTAAAATAAATGAATAAATAAATAAAATTAAATAAATAACTTTTTAAAAAGAACATAGTCATACCTGAAGCAAATATAGTGGTCATCTCCCCTAATTATGCCTCTTACTATAAGAACACATAAATGTTCCTACCTGCACACCTCTTACTTCTGACCTCAGACTCTGTTTTGAAAAGACCTTCTAATGGTCGATCTGTTACTATTCCCCGAGTCTATCCTCTCAACTCACTTTTCCAACATCTCACCTTAATAGCTACTTTCTCTTTCTCTAGAAACTTGAATTTCAAGCCTTTAACTTTGCAGTTTCTTCCTTAAATAGGCAAGGTTGTGAGAGGAGAAGTCATTACTCTAAGAGGTGGTTCACCTAGAGGCACTCACAATTTTCCCTATCAAACTGTCTTCAAAGAATAGGTTGTAGACAATTTCTACTTACTCATCTGTCATTCTCCTTTAACCTCCTGTAATCTGGTTTCCCATCTCCTCTTTTCCCTAAACTGCTCTTGGTCATGTTCCTGTAGAGGAATGACATTAACAATCATATGAATATTTCTTCTTAGGTATAGGAAATCTAGGAACTCAAACAGAAGATTTCTAGATACCAATATTTCCACTAGCCAATATTCCTTTACTCCAGAGTAGATATGAACTCTACATCTCACAATCTCACTTTCATTGGGTTTGAAACCTCTGTCATAGTCTGGAAATAAATTTACTTAGTATCACTTGCAAGCCCTCTAAGTAAGAATGAAGGTGAAAAAGTTGAAAATTGTGTCATCCTATATATACAACTAAAATTACTTTGTCATGTTTTACATGAAATTAATAAAAATATAAATTAGTATATTCCAAACTTTACTATGTATATTTTTTGGACTTTTAACATGCAGATTAAGTCAGTGGGGCATGAGACTCTGCATTTCAAAAAGTGATATTACTGCTGGTCCATAGACCACCATTGAAGTGGTTAACAGTCTAGTTTTGACCTGTTTAAAATACCAGAGGAGACAAATTTCTAAATAAGAAAGCCCCATACATCTTTGCCATTGACCCACATAGTGATAAGAAAAAGTCAGAATTGGGATAAGTTATTATATATAATTGTTTTAGTTAGTTAGGCCTTTTAAAAGGTAGGCCTTGACTGATGTCTAAAACCTACCGAGATTTAGCCAGCTAATAGAAATTTCGTTTGTAAATGCAAATTGGGTAACTGTTTTTACTTTATCATTATATTTATTCTACAGGTATTTATTGTGTACTTGTTAGGTACTAGGACCTGTAATATGCTCTGGGGATAGAGTCGTGAGGGAAACTGGACCTAGCACACTCTTATGGAGTTTATAGTCTAATATAAATCCTAACCTCTAAATAAAATAATGAAGTAAATAATATTAAATTAAAATATCAATAGCTGTTATAAAGGAAAGGTATATAAAACTATAATACTATTCAGGGAACCAGCAGTTAGCATAATGGCTATGTCGCTGGATTCCCACATAGTCGACCGCAGTTCGCATCCCGGACCCGGTGGCTTAGAACTCACGCTGGGCACATGTGTGTGCATGCCCAAGATCTCGAGAGGAGAATGGAGGAGAAGGGTGATTTCTCGCTTTCTATCTCTATGTCTCTCTCTGTCTGTCTGGCGAGCACACGCGCCCTATAGCGAAAACCTCTTTTAAAAAAAAACTGTAATACTATTCAGTAAGGAGGAAGTGGGGTCTCAGTCCCAGTCTTCAAAGTAAAGCAAACTTGGGACCAGCAGTTAGCGTAATGGCTATGTCGCCAAACTCTCATGTAGTCGAGGTGATATTTCATTTTCTATCTCTCTGTCTTCTGGCGAGTGCACGTGCCCTATAGCAAAAAGAAACTCTCCAAAAAAAAAAAAAATTCAGTCACATTGTCTAGAAGTCCACGAAAATCTCATTTTAATTAAGTATTCAAAACTGTACTAAAATTAGGACTTTCCAGCATGTCCCTAGTTTCACTGAGAAGTTTGATTGTAATAATGTCTCTAGGAGAAAGCCCACAGGCCTGAATTGCTAATACGTTTTTTCGTCTGGCATCATATAATGGCATAAGAAAGATTTGGATCCATTCTTTATTAATCCAAGAAGATGTATGGTGCTCAACAAGAGTTCTGATTTCTTTATTTTTTTGCTCCAAGTTCAAAAGAGACAAAGAATGCTTAAGAGAAACATTTCCTAAAATCTTTTTGCACAGCTTGTTTAATGATAGTGATCAATTCTGACCCATCTCCAAGGAGGTGTTGAATACTTGATAAATACTGTTGTTGAACATCTGGGGGAGCAAGAACTGTAGTGCCATTTTTGTCAGCTGCTACATTATCCAAGAAAATATATCCACCAATCATGTTTAACTGGACTTGCAAAAGAACAAGCATACAAGTACTGTATATAGCCACAATACTACTCCTTGTGAAACTTATTATCTTCAGATCCTCTTTCTAGCTTCGTTGTAAGGCTGTTTTTCAGTAGTATTATGAGACTCTCTGAGTTGAGTTACTGCATTAAGCCCTCTCTCAATGTAAGAAGCATGAACACCACTGTCATATTATAAGGCCTTTGGTCACTTTCAAAATGACATTGTCATTGCACTTGGGCAATATATTCCAAAGCTTCCCTTTCTTGCATTTCTCTGATTTTCTTTTGTTCAGATTTCCCCAAGATATATACTTCTCTGAGGACCATGCCTAGAAGATGCATTTCATTTTGTGACATTTCAGAAAATTCCACATAGATCTCAGCAGCTCTAAGCCCTGGAGGTGGACTGCAAAGGGATAAGGAGCTGATTCACCAAGAAACTGCTTCTTAGTCACTTGGCCCAGAAGACTCAACAGGAGCACCATCATCTGACTGGGTGCTACCAGAAGTCACATATGTGACTTTCTGTGAATACTGTCACCAGAGCTAGAAGGGGGAGTGAAATACAGCACAGCAGCTACGGTTTTGGCTACTGACACCACGCTGCTGCCATAGCTTCCTTTTGGGGGGAACAAGGGATGATTTGCTATGTGGTGTGCACTCTAATCTGACAGTTATAGTGAGAGAGAAAGTGAGAAATCACTGCTTCAGAGTGATACTCCTCTCTCAGGAGAGATGGCCACACTGCAGTCTCTTCTCATCTCTTCTCCTGCTGGGATTGTGGGCACACTCACACACACAACCAACATGAGCTTCAAGCAATCAACCGGGTCTAAGACTCAAACCTTAGTGAACCATGTGGGAGTCCAATGCCTTAACCACCATGCCATTTGCAGGGCCTGTGGATCTCTTGAAAGGTGAAACATCAAACAGAATTTAAACAAATCTAATCGTGAATGCCTGCAAAATCACTTTTAGAAATGAATACCTCCCTCACAGGGCAAATGTAAAATCTGCCATCATAGAACCTGGCATAGGATAGGCTTATGGGGAAGGCCCTAGAAACCTGAATGCCAAATAAGACTCCAGGAGATTCTTATACACTCTGAAATATGAAGGTGGCTGGCCTGTTCCAGCGGACATGGATCCCCTTCACAGAGAGAACCATCTTTTTTTATTGTTATTATTAATTTTTTTTAATATTCATTCACTGAGCATCATCACAGCATACAAAATATGATTTCCCATCCAGAATACACTGCATAGTAGCTTATCATACATGTTATCATTGACAAATAATTTTCCATTTCTTGTTTCATATATGTATATGTATATATATATATGCATATATATTTTCCCCCCTATTTCTCACCCTCTGCCATTTCCCATCCTCCTTTTCCCCCCCCCCTGCCATTTCCCATCCTCCTCCCACACTGTCTCTGGTATCTACAGTTGCTTTTCATTCCTCCCCCTCCCATATTTTATTTATTCACAAAATATCTTAGTTAATCTATTTTCAATCGCAAGTTCAGCTAATAAATACATGTCTGTGAACACAAGTCTGACTTTAGGCATGAAGCTCTGAGTAGAATGAATATACTATAAAGCAGCTGATGCTATAAAGTTTACTGCAATTATTAAATAGGTATTTTTAACACTTTTTATTAACTGTAATTATTAAACAGGTATTTTTTAACTTTTTTTATTTCAATAAAAGCAGTTGTAGCTTTAATAGATCAAAGTTTAAACAATGCTGGGACCAGCAGTTGGCGTAATGGCTATGTAGCTGGACTCCCATGTAGTCGACCGCAGTTCGAGTCCCGGACTTGGTGGCTTAAACTCACACCGGTTGTGTGCATGCATGCCCCAGATCCAGAGAGAAGAATGGAGAAGGGATTGTGGTGTGGCCATCCCCCTGGGGGGTGATATCTCACTTTCTGTCTCTGTTTCTCTCTTTCTGGTGAGCTCACACACCCTATAGCAAAAAACCTCTCCAAAAAAAAGAGAAAGAAAAAAATGTAAAAGATGCTAAGAAAACTTTGCTTTAAACTTAAAGCCAGTCTACCATATGATCTAGCAATCCCACTCCTAGGTATCTACCCAAAGGACAGAAGAATCTTTCATTGGAAAAGTGCTTGCACATCGATGTTTATTCACGATTGCTAAGACATGGAACCAACCCAAATTCCCCCGTATGGATGAATGGATTGTAAAACTGTGGCACATATACTCTATGGAATACTATTCAGCAATAAAAAACAACAAAACCCTGGCTTTTCACAGGAAGTGGAAGAATATGGAAGATTCACTGCTGAGTGAGGCAAGCCAGGCTATGAAGGAGAGACATTGTATGTCCCCACTTAACATATACCGAATGTCTGCACTCTATGACTGAAACTGATTGAGTAATAGTTGTACAAACACAAGAGATGGGTGTGACTGTCAGATGAGGTGTATGTGGAGGAGTGGGGCCTAACGAAGGACATTTGGAGAAGGGATACGGAGGTAGAGCGTTGGTGGGATGGGCAAGTGTGTTATCGGTTGAAGATATTTTGATCAACGGGACTGGGGAGAAATGTTCACACATTGAAATGCTCACATTGTAATCTAAACAATGTGATTGAATGTATATACAAAAATAAATAAATTAATTTTAAAAAAAAAGACTGAAAAAAAAAATAAAACTTAAAGCCAGCCAGGAAACAGGAGTTAGGATTCTGTTCAAACTGTTAAAATAGTAAGGGGGCATGAACCTATCGGCAGCTCATGATCAGACAAAAATCCTTAAATCTGGAAAACAAAGCATAGAAGAAAATCAGTAAACTTTTAGTCAAAATTCATAAGACTCTCATTCACCAGTTCAATCGTATGTACTTTATCTTCTAAGTCACCACATTTGAGGAATAAGAGGGAACGGGAAAGTTGCTGTTAGTGGGTGTGATCTGGTCAGTCCCATCACTAGTAACAGAAAACACCTGAAACTGGTGATTTACAAAAACACGGAGATCTAGTCAAACCATAGCTGTTTTGGAGAAGAAAGACTTGGGCCAGCTCTAGCAATGCTCTTCTGTCTGCACTGCAACATGACAGAGGAAAGGAGAACATGGTCTGGGTTCCATGAATCTGTCTCCTTCCTTTTCCTTATAAACCTTCCAAAACTCAATCATGGAGACCCTACCCTAAGGAATTTAATCCTAATCTCTTCTCAACAGCCCCTCTTTCTTTTTTTTTTTTTTTTTTTTTTTGAGAGGTTTTTGCTATAGGGCTCCTGAGCTAGTCAAAAAGACAGGGAGAGACACAGAAACAGTGAGAAATCACCCCCTAGAGGGGATGGCCATGCAGCAATCCCTTCTTCTCCATTCCCTCCTTTTTACACCATAGTTGGATCAAGTTTTCACCCTTGTAATCCTGTTACAATGGCTAAACCTATGAATTGGGGGGAGGGAGTACTGTCAAACCATAGCTGGGTTATTGGGAAGATAATCTGGATTTGGGATTTGCTAAAGTCAATTTTAAAATCATATGTGAGAAAAGAATCATATAGGAGGAAAAAAGGAACTGTAGGGGCCCTTGAAACACCTGGTCATAGCCATTATGAGGCTGGTTTTTAAAACAGGACCAGCCTAAAACTGTCAGTTGAGCAGCAAACCAGTGTGGCCATTACTAGGTGGCAGTCCTACCTGTGGATTCAGAAAGACTCTCTCATCTTTGTGCTTATCACTAAACACACCAAGGTATTGAACCATATACTGTGATTGTCCTTACCAGTCCTGCAGCCTCCAGGGACAGTTATTTTAAAAATGTAAATAAATTGACTTTTCAAAGGAAATAGGGAAAATAAGGTTTTGTTTTTATTTTTTGGTAAATGCCTTTTCCTTAGAGAGGGTGTGCTTGCCAGGGAGACAGAGAGAGAAAGAGAGAGACAGTGAGAGGGTGAGAGGAAAGTGACAAATCACCCCCCAGGAGAATGGTCATGCCGAAACCCCTTCTCCTCCATTCTTCTCCCAGGATCTTGGGCACACATGCACACATGCCCTGCGTGTACACCCATGGGTGTACTATGATGAAGAGGAAATAAAGGTCTTTTCCTCCTTATTCCAATGTGAGGAGACTGCTTTTAGATGCTTTTCAAGCACTCTGTGGGACAGAGACCAGAGTTCCTAAGGCATAGGACCCAGATATTCTGAGCTCTTTTACACTTCCTGGTATGAATATTCATTTCTACCTGAGTGTCTCAGTCATGCTATGTAAACCTCAAAATGCTGAAAGGTAAAAATAGGAAGGACATTAATCCATGAAAATAATTTTTTTTTCTCATATTACTTGAAAAACCTTGTTTCTTTGAAATATTTGGCAGTTAACTTATGTGTTGATACTTCTTGCAGTTTTCTATCATATCTAAAGAATTCTGCCAAGTTGTCCTTCTAAATGTAATTTCTAAATTCTCTACATTTTTATTTGATATCCTATTATGCCTGTACCTCAGCATAGCATTTTCTTCACTGGACTCTATCCTCCAGCACGCACACAGTGACATTTGAAGTGTTCCTTAACTTCCCATCAGAACTTTTGGTAACACACTGTCTTATACTAGTATCTTAGCAAAGCTGTTAGGGCTCTTATTCCTCAGAGAATGTGTGATCATTAATATTTGAAAGCCATTCCATTGGCTTGGAAGCAAAGGCCTTTCCTAATGCCATAGAGGCCAAGTCCCAGGAGAACATGAGATAAAGATATTACCTTCTTCATCTTTGTGCTGTAGTAAGTCTGTCTATTAAAATTGGAGGCAAGATATGGTTTATGAAACAAGTCATTTAGAGGTTTGATCTATGTCAAAATTATGATAGCTTTACCTTTTCAGCCCTGCTAAGGGTTATGAAACCCTTTTGTCAATCCCCTTTCATTCTATAATTTCTTAATGTTTACTTATTAAAGCTTTTGGTTTAGAGCATTTTATAAAGAGATAAACATTAAAAGAAGACCAAACATAGCTTCCACTAATAACACTAAAAGACTTCTCAGAGCATTTCTATGGAAAGTAAGTTAGAAGAAAAACTTCTTTTGAAAATTTTGTATTTGTGTGCAAATGTAAGCCCTCATTACAGGATTCACATCCCTACATATTGAAAGAAAAAAAATAAAATCCCATAAAATACAGGATAAAGAAAGTTTATCCATGACAAAAGAAAGTATCTATTGTTTAGTAGAATTTTTAAAATTTTATACAAGCTTACAAGGAAAATTGGTCACAAAATTTTATAGAAATAAAAAGCAAAAATAAAAATATTTCATGCCTAGATTCTTTTTTGTAAATCTCCATACATTTTTTGTAAACTTTTATTAAATCAGTATACTAGTGACTATATCTGCCTATAATAGTAAACTGAGATTAAGAAAAAACTTAAAGCTATTGTTTTCTTTTTCTACAGAAGATATTACAACATTTCAATATTAAAAGCCAGTGCCGGTAAGTCACACTATAGAATTGCATTTTTATGATGCTCAAGCTAACATTAGCAGTGACAGAATTTAGAGATGACATTAAAATGATTATTACCACCTTACTGTGAACACTGTATTTCTCTCGCATATTTAAATAATGTCTCATAATATTTTTAACTGAAATGCAAATAGTCAAATTAAAACTTTCTTTACTGAGTCTCTTACACTCTAAGATGGGTTTGGAAGAAAAACTTTTAATTCTAATTCTTTAAAAATTCTTTTTAAAGAATTATTTTAGTTAACTTTCTTTCTTCTTTCTTTCTTTCTGTCTTTCTTTCTGTGTACTGAACTACTGTGCCCCAAACTCAGAGAATATAGTCAAGAAAAAGTAAACTATGTTTTCTTCCTGACTTATTATTCTTTGGAAAGATGATCCCATGTTTATTGTCTTTGTTCATAGTAAAGGAGCACATTTTAAAATAGATCCTAACTGATATTTCTCTTGACCATGCAGGTTACTAACATAATGAATGTCTCTGAGCCAGATTCCAACTTTCTTTTCAAGAGAGAATTTATACTCCTAGGTTTTGTTTGTGAGTGGAAAATTCAGATCCTCCTTTTCTCACTCTTTACCACAACATATGCTCTGACTATGACAGGGAACGGGGCCATTGTTTGTGCATTATGGTGTGACCAGCGACTCCACACTCCCATGTACATGTTCCTGGGGAATTTCTCTTTTCTAGAGATCTGGTATGTCTCTTCTACAGTCCCCAAGATGTTAGTCAACTTCCTCTCAGAGAAAAAAACAATCTCCTTTGTTGGCTGTTTCCTCCAATTCTATTTCTTTTTCTCATTGGGTACATCTGAGTGCTTACTTTTGACTGTCATGGCCTTTGACCGATACCTTGCTATCTGCCGGCCCTTGCACTATCCTAATATCATGACTGGGCATATCTGTATCAAATTGGTCATTATCTGCTGGGTTTGTGGATTTCTGTGGTTCCTGATCCCCATTGTTCTCATCTCTCAGATGCCCTTCTGTGGTCCAAACATTATTGACCATGTTGTATGTGACCCAGGGCCACTCTTTGCACTGGCATGTACTTCTGCTCCAAAAGTCCAACTGTTTTGCTATACTCTAAGCTCATTAGTTATCTTTGGTAACTTTCTCTTTATTCTTGGATCCTATACTCGAGTCCTTTTAGCTGTGCTGTGCATGCCTTCAGTCACTGGAAGACATAAGGCACTTTCCACCTGTGGATCTCATTTGGCTGTGGTATCACTGTTCTATGGTTCTCTGATGGTCATGTATGTGAGCCCTGGACTCGGACATTCTGCTGGAATGCAAAAAGTTGCAACTTTGTTCTATGCCATGGTGACCCCACTCTTCAATCCCCTAATCTACAGCCTCCGTAATAAGGAAATAAAGGCAGCCCTGCAGAAATTTATGGAGCGTCTCAACATAATCTAAGATATATTAGATGATTCCTCCATGTTCAGGTCAGTATACAGTCTAATAAAAAGCAATCAGAATTATACAGTTCTTTAAACCTACAAATATGAGTCTAGTGATATTGACTATCTCAGCCTAAAAAAATTAAGTGTCTATGAAGTCCCTTATAAGATTAAAATGGCCAAATTATATAAGTATGTGAAGCGTTTGGTCTCTCTTTTCGATTGTGTATACACTGTGTACTCACTAAGTAAGATTCACATATGAATGTTTCCTCAATAGTTTTCATATGATTCATCTGTCACAAAAATTCCTTTGTTCTATTTGATAATTTAATTTTATAGTTCTGGGATCAATACAATTATAACTATGTCATCTTGTTTGTTTAATTGGTTGATTGTAAATAAAAGAAGAAAAATACCTATCTTGTATCACAATTGGCTTTACTATTTTTTCATTTTTTTATATTTTGTTATACATTCAATCACATTATTTAACTTACAAAGTGAACATTTCAATATGTGAACATTTCTCCCTAGTCCGGCTGATCAAAATATCCTCAACCGATAACACCACACCTCCCTGTCCCATCAATGCTCTGCCTCCGTATCCCTCCTCCCAATGTCCTTCCTTAGGCCCCACTCTTCCACACACACCACATCTGGCATTCACACCCATCTCTTGTGTTAGTACAACTTTTAGTCAATCAGTTTCAGTCATAGAGTGCTGACACTTGGTATATATTAAGTGGGGATATACAATGTCTTTCCTTCATAGCCTGGCTTGCTTCACTCAGCAGTAAATCTTCCATATTCTTCCACTTTCTGTCAAAAGCCAGGGTTTTGTTGGTTTTATTATTCTGGTGATGTAATTCCTGTTAAATAAGTTATTGGAAACAATTTACCAAAATTTCTATGGAATAACTAAATATTATAGTTAATGACATCCAAGTGTATGTTGTTGTTTTCACACAATTCCTCTTCATAAGCACCCAAAGGGAAGATTTTGATTACATGTATAGCAACATCAGTTAAGATATTTAGCATTCTCAGTACCTAATATTTTTACCGAAATGAAGTGTTGTCACTCTGATGCTACTATTTTCATTTATATGTCTGTTTTATTTAATATGATGTCAAACTTGTGCCCATGTTATAGAAAGTTTTTATAGTTATCATTTTTAGGAACTATAATGCTCCATTGAGTTAATATGATATGGATTCTGAATTTTCATGTGGTAAGATAAACATTTTCTTATATTAGAGCCTTCCTTCCAAGGAGATAGGAGTTGACCTATAAAGGATATAACAAAGGGAATTTTGAGAAGAGGCATGAAAAGTAAAATGAATAACACCTTTACACAGGAATAGCCTCTTTAGAATTAGTAGTGAGGTATTTGAGGGTAAGATTACTGAACATTCCAACATTATCTTCCTTCCAACTGCCAACAATTCTTTTGTTTTACATGTTAGTTATTTTTTGTTATGAAATAATGTACCAATAAAATGATCATAAAGATTTGCTGTGGTAATATTTTGCAAATCAAAATTGAGACTTCAAAATAAGCCCAGTCTCTGTAGTGTGGTCTGTTGTATACCAAACTGCAGATCTGGAAGCCATATGCAAACCACAGTTTGAGTCCCCAGGCTGGTTGGCCTGAAAACATGATAGGCAATCCTGAGTGAATTAAGGAAGATTTTAGCATGACCAAGCCCTATGGGGTGCTTCTTTGTCACTCCCTTACACATGTGTATGTGTTATATCATGAAGAAAAAGAAAACAAAACTATTTCAGAAAATTTAGGATGTAAGAGCAGTATGAACATGCCACAATTTTCCTTTTAAGGTTTCTTTAGAAAGAGATCATTTTTTCATCAAAATTGGCAATGATTTGTGAATTTTGGCATAAATATTCCAGGTAGGACACTATTTACCACTTTGATATGTGAATTTAACAAGCTCCTTAGTCAACCTTACTTATCAGACCTCTTCTATCTATCTATCTATCTATCTATCTATCTATCATCTATCTGTCTATCTATCTATATCACTTGTATAGCTCATTGAAGATGTTTCTAGTCTCTATAAACCTTCTCAGAGTATACGATTTTTAAATTTTCTGAGACTGACCAGCAAAAGGCTCAAAAAGGACACCTAGTCAAGAAAGACAGCTTTTCTACCATAATTTCAGAACTTCCTACCTTGGCTACTAGCTTTTCAATGGACTCCTCTTTCAACCTCAGACACTGATAATCCTCTCCATCATCATTTGACCAAGCAATATAATTCATATACCATCAAACCAAATCATTTGACCAAGCAATATAATTCATATACCATCAAACAGCATCTCAAAGGAGGTAGATAGAAAGAATATTAATGATAATGGTAAAAAAAAAAAATAGTATTTCCCTCCCCCCGAGCATTTAGACTGTCAAAAGAATACAGCAACATGACATTTGAAAATAATTTTGCTAATTTGTGGTTTCCTGAGGGGAAATGAAAATATACAGTGAATATTTTCCACTTTCAGATATGAGTCATGGTGTTTAATAACTGACTTTAAAGCTAATAAAACATTGAATCTCCCCTCAACTACAACTCGTTCTCTCATGAAGCATAATGTATTGAAAAACCAAGCATTATGTAGACTTATGATTACTGGAAAAATAAGAGCATGGGGTATGTGGACAAACAATGTTACAAGAAAAGAGAGAATGAGTTTTTTAGAGTAACAAATTTAGTTGTTCAAAATCACCACTATAGAGTTTGGTCTTATTGACATGGACAGAATAATAATTAGCAATAATTTTGAGGCTTAGCTTAATGCCAGGGACTGTTCTGAGTATCTATTTGTTCCTTTATTTTCTATTTATGACAACTGTAGGAGAGTGGCTGACTAGCCTCTGGTAGCAAGCACTCTCCCAGCTCAGGTGTAATTCTTAGAATTCCTTCAAAAGCCCCAGTTTGCTTCAGGGTGGGTGAGTGGGTGGCAGAGCAGTGGCACACAACTCAGTACCAGATGTAACAAAGTAAGTACTCAGTGTTGAAACAGGGAGTGCCTTGGGGTCACCATCCACCCAGCTCTTTACTGCATGTGAGTTTACATGTAATAATCCTCTGTGTATTGCTTTATTGGAGAGGTCTTGTCTTGTTTTTGATCCCATCATTCCTAATTCCCACAACCCAAAGAGGTCAAGTCAGTATTATTGTATCTCCAATTTACTAAGAACGAAACAGACTCAAAGAGTTACTTCTTAGTTGGAGATAGTATCTGATCCCAGGTGGCTAACTGCAGAACCCGCACTTTTTACTTACTAGAGAAGAAAGGGGTCAATATTCTGGAAGCAGGTATTAATAGATTGGTTTCCAATCTATTATTAATTAATTGTATGACCCTGTGTAAATTACTTGAGCTTTGTGCTTTGATTTAATCAATTAAACAGTTAAGGATAATACTTTTGTTGGAGAGTGCCTGTGATAAATACATGAGGTAAATCAGAATAACATCATGTACATAGTACATATGGAGTTGATTTCAATTATGATTACTAATGTTTTTTCTTTGTAAAGTTCTTTATAATTTGCAAAACACTTTCATATAGTAGATCAGCTCATCCTTGCAAATTTATAACATAGAATAGAGGTTTCCTTATTTATTTATGAGATGAGACCCAAAGAAACCAGATGGATTGTCTAAGGTCACTGACAGTGAGGGAAGGAGCCAGTTCTGCTGACATCAAGTTCAGTCAGAGTTCTGTGCCATACATTCCTTTCCTGGGAACTACGGCTAGGTCCTCAAAAACTGCCTTTAGAATGGCATGGCCATGCAGGTCAAAGGGCTGGGTTTACCCAAGAAATTAATATTGTAGAAGAGAAATAAATGTATAAGAAACACATAGGGATCTCTTTTCAGTTGGTTTAAGACAATAACTACACAAATTATGCAAAGAGTTATGTAAAAGTGTTTAATATGTGAAATACAGCTATTTGAGTTATAAAGGCAGACAGTGAAGCAATACAATTATATAATCTTACATACATATAGAAACATGGTATTACAAGAAATTTAAATTCTTTGTTTTCTCTTTTATGTCTGTTTATTTTCTCATTTTTCCATGATGAGCGTGTATGCATCATTTAACTAACAAAAGATATGAACTTAAAAAAACAGTGCTTAGAAATGGATATATAATTTAGAGTAAAGCTCTTAGAAATTTCAGTTACCTAAGGTTGCCCTCTACTTCACATATAAGTAAAGGATAATGTTATTTTCTGTACAACATGTATCTTTACAGAGTTTTCAAAGACATTTCAGTGTGGGCTCAATTTTTGGAGAGGAGTGCTAGTGCTTCTCTCACTCCAATTAGCTCATTTCTGTAAATGAGAGAGAGATTCCAGGCCATGAACTTTGACTTGGAAGTTTTTGTTCCAGATGTCTAGAATAGGAACCAAAAAAAAAAAAAGGAAATGGAGAGATATGTCTCGTAGTTGAATGAAGCTCTGCTGAATCTTTCCAAACAGAAACATTTACCCAGGAACCTCCCATCTACCATTCGTATAAGAACCAATTTTCATTAAAAGAGATTTTGACTTTTATGCTTTGGTTACCTACCCTTTATATATCTGTGCTTTTTTTATAAAAACAAATGAGAGAATTTCAGGAAGTTCATGGAACAGTAGAAATACAGTCCAAGTTTATTTGGGTATAAAAATTTTTTGGAATCAGGACCAGCAGAAAGTGTAATGGTTACGTTGCTGGACTCCCACATAGTCGACCATAGTTGGAATCCCAGACCCAGTGGCTTAAAACGCAAGCTGGGCACATGTGCATGCATACTGAAGATCCTGAGAGGAGAGTGGAAGAAAAGGGATTGTGGTGTGGCCATACCCCCTGGGGGATGATTTCTTGCTTTATGTTTTTCTATCTCTCTCTGTCTCTCCGGTGAGTCCACATGCAGTATAGAAAAAAAAAAAAAAAAAACCTCTCTCAAAAATAATTTTTTTAATCTGTGCATATATGTATCTGTGTATTTTCATAATACACATTTTCCTTGAACTTTTTGAAGAACATTTGTATCTGAAATATCCATCTCTTTTAAAAAACATTAACCATTCATCTTTCAAAACATGCTTTCAATTATCTTAACAGAAACAGGGCCATTTTAAAAAATAATGACGAGTCAATTATCTCCAAAGTAGCAAAAACTCTAGTTAGATTTGGAATAAATAATTTTTATTTTTTGTTAAATAATTTAGTAACTCCACATTTTACCCATTGAAGTGTTAGAGGCAAAAAGAACACTTAAGATCTATCTAGGGACCAAGAATTGTCACAAGTATTATTAGACTTAGATTTATTTACATGTAATAGAAATCCAAGAAACAGCAGCTTATGCAAAACAAATATTTTGATTTTTTTCTCACATAAATGTTTACAGAGGTAATCAGTCCATGGCAGGCCAGAGTTAAGCAGTTTCAGGTTCCCATTAGGAACTCAGGTTCACTTACCTTTTTTATAAGCCTTTATAGTACTCCTTGGCATCCTCAGGGTCACCTTATTATCTGAAAATGGCATCAGTATGTCCCTACTTAATATATAACAAGTGTCCACACTCTATGACTGAAACTGATCAACTAAAGGATATAGAAACACAGTATATGGATGTAAATACCAGATAGAGTGTATGTGAAAGAGGAGAATCTGAGGAAGGACATTTAGAGGAAAAATAGAGAGGCAAAGCATTAATGGCACAAAGAAATGTGGTATTATCTGTTGAAGATATTTTGTAGTTTTATCAACTGTAATAGGAAGAAAGTTTCACCTGTTGAAATATCCATTTTGTAAGCCAAATAATAATGTGATTTAATGTATAAAAGAATATGAAATAATTAATAAATAAATAAGATGTTACAAGGGAAACTACGTCATTTAATTTCCTAAACTGGGCATATTGTTATCCAATTAAAATTTAGGTGGTATTAGACAAGAAGATAAGAAAATTGGGTATGACATAAGTAGTTAACAAACAGTGCTACACATGTATTAGGCAAAAGTCTTTTTTCAAAAGTCTTACTTTAGGAGGTTGAGATTCCTTGTAAGCAAACCTTTATATCCAAATAAATAGCAAAAAAGACAGATTTAATAGAGAGAAAAGTTTTAAAAGACAAAAATGTTAATAAGAAAAAAAGTAAGGCACTATAGTGCCTAAGGTATTAGTCAAAATTTATAAATATGTATGTGAAAAAAAAAATTGCTTTCCCAGTACTCAAAAGAATAAAAGACCTCCACATGGTACTTGAAAAACAAATTTGGAGGATAAGATGGGAAAACTATTTTAATATCTACAAAATTTAACTATTATAATTGTTACTGTAAGAACAGAGGCAGGGGGAAAAAAAGTATTCAAGAAGGGTTTTAGTCCAGTTAAGCATGACATGAATTAACGTGTGGGTGCCCTTCTCTCATTGGAATATTAAATTACCAAACTCAATCCAGGCTCTGATTTCATGACTTCTTTCTTAGAAATTTCCCAATGGCTTATATCCTCTGGAAAAGAAGATTTTATAGTTCAGATAGAAATTTACCTTTCCTCTTCTCCCTTCTCTGCACTCCCAACCTCAGTGCATTTAACTTCAGTAAAATGGAGGTCTCTCTTCAATCTTCCTGTTATAAAGAAACTTCATATTAAGTCTGTTGGGATCACTGGGAAGAGGGGAGGTGTGTAGAAATGGTAAAGACGGTGAAAGAAAACTCTCCTGGGAAATGGAGAAGGAATTTGTTCTTCTGACATCAGGAGGATATAATACAAAGTTAGGAAGAACTGAAATCACCAGACCAAACTAGAAAAGAGGAAATCATGAAACATAAATAGCTATTAGGAAGGAAATGGGAGAAGCTGAGAGACTTAAAAAGCACTCTTTTCATTCTTTGATACTTTCTACCTTCACTGTAGCAGGGTGGTACACATACGTGTGACAGACGGCAGAGGCCATGGTGGAGGAAAGATTCTCAGAAGACCAGGCCTTTCCTTCTTCACTGCAGGAGAAGGTAAGAAAGAATTCTTCCTGAGAAATTTCAACTCTGTTTCCACTTCCTTTGTTCAAAGGCAAACCAACTGTTGCCTTCATGCCAAGTAAGCTTTGCAGTTGAAGTAGAAGAGCAATTAATGTAATTAACAGGGAAGAAAGCAAAACTGGAGAATTGCCCCACATAAGGAACATGGCCTTATACAGGAGAAGCCAGACCAAAGGCCAGGAGCTAGGCAGGGACTAGGCAGAACTTAAAGGGGATGTTTTGATTAGGATTTGCCATGATTTAACTGGCCATTCTTTATATGTTAGGGTAATATGAGAGGTCTTTTGAAAATTCATGGAAAACGTATATTATGAAAGGACTTCAAAAGTTATTTACATCAAAATAAATTTATAATTTGAATCTATTTTTCCATTAATTTTTGAAGTCTCCTTGTACCATCAAACCTGGCTTCCCAAGAACAGAGGATCACTCAATAATTCAGAATTTTTATATACTCCTCATATCTCTATCTCATGGCCATTGTGTCTTCCTGGTTTATCTATTCCAGTCCTGTAAGTCTCCATAATATAAAGAGAAATCAAAGAACGATAGTGCACTCTATTTGACAGTCAGGGTTCAAAGACAATCTTGCAAAAATGTGGAAGAGTAGCCGTGGCAATAGAGTGAAGCAGCATGAGGTATAGTGAGTGATGTCTGAGTCATAAAGATGATTCTCCCAAGCTTTCCCTGAACTTTTCACTGAATTCTGAGGCATGTAGTATAACTATGATGTTCCTGCCACTGAAGGGATATTATTTGGAAATGGCCGCCTCCAGGCTTTCAGAGCCAGCTTTATGTGATCCCCCAAGCACATTATCCTCTTGGTAACTCAAGGAAGAGAGAGAGAGAGAAAAGTCATGTCTTTTAATACTGAATCTTCCTTTGCCCAAGGGCATGAGTTACTGAGGAAGCCAAACCCTCTCAGGAGGGCAATGCCCTGCACTAGTGGTTAGCTGCCATCTCTCATTCCCTGAGCACCAGTCTTATCTCCTGTCTTTTCCCACTGTTTCAGGGCCTTCAATGAGGACATAGGATTGCCTCATTTCATAATGGGGAGAGGCTCTACCATGAGAGGAGAGTAAGTAAACAATGACAAAATGCTCAAAGCAGCCTGCTACCTTCAGCACTGAGTGCTGAACGTGAAGGTATCAAGATTCTGCACCTCCTTTAACTGCTTTTTCCACCTCATCATTGCTTTCTTATATTCTTGATGTTGTACCTAACTAAATTTTGGGACTTTCTGTTTTCCATAATGTCAGTAATACAACTCACTAGAAATGTATCCTGAGTCCTGCCTGAGACTTTCCGTAGTGACAACAGCAACCTTGGAGGCAAAAACCTAAAACTGAGGTCCACCCTCTGCCAATTTCTACTTATTTGACTTAATGCCAGTAACATAGCTTTTTGATATTTAACTGCCTCATCAGTAAAATAAGGATAATAATATTGAGCACACAAATGCCAGTGGTTAAGGATCAACTAAGAGTATGTGTTCAGATATTTTTTTTTCCTTCAACCCATTCTAAAATGGACAAATAAATTTGACATCTAGTCCTGGAATAAGGCTATTATAGCTGAGAGCTTCTCTCCAAAGAACTTAGTAATGCGAGCTAATCATCTTCAACAGGTAGACCGGGAAGTGTCACCAACTTCTCTGCTGAGATATATCACGAGTTTGAGTCTGGTTCTTCTTGCTGCCCTCTCTTTGTCTCCACTGGCTCTCTATCTGCAGAGGGGCACATGTCAGAATGTACAACTTTAGTCTTCTACTTGGCCAAATGCTTCCTTAATATTGTAATCACAGTTGTTTGTCCAGTATATCTTAGAGCTCCTAAGAATGTTATATATTAGAAGGCCCTGGGCTGGGATTTTGCACCATTGTAGGATCTGACAATTCTATTCTTTCTCCTCTTTTCACAGAAGCAGTGCAAAGGATGGAAAGACTCCTCTTCTTCCCTTACTGCTGGGACTGATGAATCTCAGTGTGGTGAGCTGGGCCTGGACTGCCCCTGATTGCACCATAGCAGATGCCTCCCTATTGCCTAGGCTCTCCTATTACATCCCATTCTGTTCCTTGGCCCCAGGACTACACTTTTTTGCATCATGCTCTAATGTTAAAGACTTGGCTCAGACTCTGACAGCAATACCCGAAAAAATAGAGGTGCTTTGCCTTCAGGGCACAATTCCAGTCCTGCCAATTGATGCCTTTGCTAAGTTCTCCTCTCTTCAGCTTCTAAGGCTACAGTTGGGCCCCATCAAGATTACATCTGGGGTATTTCAAGGGTTGGACCAGCTGCAGCACCTTTCCTTTGAGCATCATGTCCCCTGTTGCCTGAATCTGTTCCTCTCTCCAGATGCCTTGGAGCCCCTCAGATCCCTCCACAGCCTTTCTTTTGAAGGCTACTGCCTGAATTCTAGCCAAAATATCCAGCTGCCCATTAGCCTTAGTCATCTGACCCTAAGACACAGTTGTCTGACAGAGCTGCAGGAACTGCAAGGGATCTTCCAAAATCTTGTACCTGGTTCCTCTCATACTGCCAGTTCTATACCATGGTCCATCTCTGTAGAGGTGCTGGATCTGTCTGGCAACCTGCAGCTGAGCCAGGTGGGCATAGGAGCCTTGCATGGCCTCCAGCTCCAGTCACTGAGGTTGGATGGAACCCCAGTGAGTGCAGTAGGCCTCCCAGCCTCAGGGCTGCTCCACCTGGACTCCCTCTCCCTTGTGGATAAAGGTATAGAAAAAATGCCTGAAAATGTGACCAACTACTTCACACTTCGGGCACTCAATCTTGGCAAGAACAAAATTCAGAACATAGAGGATGGAGATTTCTCAAGCTGCCACTCCCTCGAAGTCCTCAGCCTTCATGCCAATGGCCTGAAATTTCTTTCCCCCAAGTTTCTGAGTGCCCTGCCCCAGCTTCAGAGATTCAACCTATCCATGAATAAGCTTGGCTCAACCTTGGTGCTTCCTCAAGGGCTGATCAGCTCAAACCTGAGGGTGCTAGATCTGTCCTACAATGAGCTCTATACTCTACCCTATGGGGCCTTCTCTTCTCTTCCACAGCTTCAGGAGCTCTGGCTGAGTGGCAACTACATTGCCAATTTATCCAGTGAGAACTTTCAGGGACTGAGATGCCTGACCACTCTAGACCTGAGTTGGAACCAAATTAAGGTTCTAAAACCAGATTGCTTCTCCTCTCTTCTTGCCCTCACCTCACTGAACCTCCTGGGCACTTATTTAGAGAGAGTTTCAGGCAATCAGCTACAGGGTCCCCAGGAACTGAACCATCTGCAGCTAGGATCTTTTATGATGCTGGATATCTACCCTCCTTGGCCTCCTGCACTGCTCAGCCTGGAGGTATGGACAGAAACATTGCTTCAGTTTAGTGTCCCCAGTGGAGAACCTTTCTTGTTCTTGGAAAATCTTACCATACAAACAACGTACGTGAAACTGCTTCAGAAAAATATCACACTCCATTTCCCCTCTCTGCGTTACCTCACTCTGCGAGGCTGCGACCCCTACATTTTCACAAGTCATCTGTCCGAGAGATTCTTCCCACAGCTTCCAGCCTTGGAGCACTTGCACTTCTGGTCTGATCATAATGGTCCAAGTGACCTGAGTCTGTCTGGGATGCCCAGCCTGCGAGTGTTAGAGCTAGGAGACCTGGACTACTTCTCTAAGTCATCGAGTTCAGTAAAGCTGGAGGTGCTACTGAAGGAGCTGCCTCAGTTACAGGTGCTGGCATTGAGCAACCTCAACGTTGGGAACCTTTCTGTCCTTAGCCTCCAGGACTTGAGCCCCCTCCGGTTACTGCTTCTCAACTCTGAATGGACCCTGGGGCTGGACAGTAGCCTCCAGGAGCTAATCCCACAAATGCCTCAATATGTTTATTTCTCAGATATTACCTTCACCTGCCAGTGTGAAAGCTCCTGGGTGGGACCTTGGGCAGCAAGGGCTCCAAACACCTACGTGTATGGGCTGGAGAAATCCATCTGCATGGCCAATGCCTCTGACTACTCTCAGACTCCACTGCTCTCCTTCCTTTCTAGTCACTGCCCACATGACGCTGAGTTTCAGAGTTTTCTCGCCAGCTTCATTCTGGTGCTTTTGCTGACTACTCTCGCATTGCTTGTGTGTCCCAAATGGCCCTGGCTTCACCACGTCCGCACTGTACTGCATGCCTGGTGGTTGAAATTGGGTGGGCGGGGCCCCAGAAGCCAATTCCACTATGATGTCTTTATCTCCTATTGTGTAGAGAACCAAGACTGGGTGCTGAAAGAACTGGTTCCTGCCCTAGAAAAGCCTCCTCCAAGTGGTGGGGGCTTGAGGCTGTGCCTGCCTGAGAGAGACTTTGGGGTTGGACAGGACAGGATGGATGCTATGATCGCCAGCATGGAGAACAGCCGAACCACCCTCTGTGTGCTCAGCTGCGAGGCCCTGGGAAGCCCCTGGTGCAATCTGGAGTTAAGGCTTGCCACCTACCACTTGATTGCCAGGCCTGGGACGGCTCGCCTTCTGCTGCTCTTTCTGGATCCCATTGATCGGTGGCAGCTACACAGCTACAACCGCCTCCTCCGGTGGCTCCAGAAGGAGGATTATTTTGATCTGTCCCAAGGAAAAGTGGAATGGAATGCCTTCTGTGAGCAACTTCGGAGAAGGCTAAGGAAAGCTGGACAAGAGAGAGAGGATTAGGGCCTCGGAAAAAACGAGGTAGGCATGCAGGAATAACTTTCAGCAGGGGCCTCAATACCATCACAGGTAGGCTCACAGGGGGAGTCAGCAGGCAATGCTTACCTCACTTCTCAAAGTAAAAACAGCACAGATAAAGACACCAGATGCCAATGGGAAATCACATTTGAAAGCACTTGGAACCAAGGTGTTAATTCAAAAACTAGTTCTGATACCTACTAGTCTTTTCACAACAGAAGGCATCCCCCAGAAAAGAAGATACAAAAAGGGTTTGGAAAATCCGATGCTCATTTTTCAAAGGGGATTCATTCTGTCTCTGTTGAAAGAAATTTATTCATTTCTTTAGTAAAAAGCTATTTTATTCCAGAGGAATGGGGCAAAAATCAATGAGCTGTTTGTCAGTGTTCTAAAGTTAAATTGAAACTATGCTTGCAATTCACTAAAGGTTCAGCAAATTTAGTTTCCCTAACTCACTTGGTTTTCAAAGCAGTATCACAGGGGTGAGGATAATAGCTTAGTTCCTGTATTACAGCTGGGAATCCCAGCACATAAAGGTTCAGTGATTTATCACCCTGGCACAGTTCCTGTGCCACAAAGTTCAGATCTGACCCCAGTTCTCCTGAGTCAAAACCCAGTAGTCTGTGCTTTCAGCTGTCTTCTAGTTACCTCTATCCGATGACAATTTGCCTCATTACAAAGTAAAAGTCAGCAAAAACGGGGCAAACACTTTAAAAATACATGCACATGATTTATTTCCAAGAATTTTCTCTCAGATTTTCAGAAATTTTGCATGGAATAAAGATTCTGTGCCCTCAAATAGATAAAGTACTTTGAATGAATGTATAGATAAATAAATAAATAGACAAGACTTATGATATGATAGTAAACATGAATATGAACAAACAGCATTACTAAGTTTCCAGTTTGAAAATAATTGCACGTGTATCTAATGTATGCAAAAATTAAAAAGAAGAATGCTAGAAATGACCCTAGGAATTGAGCTGTGGATGATTTAAACTTCTTATACTTTCCTGTTGTTCATTTTTAAAATAAGCATGTATTAGTTTCGTAATAGTAAAAGTTTTTAAATCATTTCTCTTTCAAAAATGAACACCTTAGTGTAGATTAATTGCTAATAATTTGAGTAATTTTCTGCTTTCTGCTGGTATAATACAAGCATGGAAGAAAATATGAATGCTGAAACATGGAAAAACAGCAAAAACAGAACAAAACCACCACAAATAAACTTTATCTATTTCAGAAATCTGTCTCTAAAATGGCTTCCTTAAATTGGTCCCTAGGCTATTTACTTCTTCACAACTAGCCAAAGCCCACCAGTGCCAACATTTTCTTGAGTTCATTTATTTTATTTGTACTCATGAAAGAGAAGGGGAGAGAGAGTCCCCTGGACAGGGTCTTACCACACTGCAGTCCCTTCCCCCAGCCCTCCAGCTCCACAGAATCCTGGGCACCCACACATGGCTGCTGTGTTTTTCAGGCCTTCCCGGGGATTCAAACCTGTGCAGGCTGCCATTTGGCTCCCAGCACTCCAATGCAATTTGCTACCAACTGTGCGACCAGGCTGGTCCACTGCCAAAATTTTTACCTATTTCAGTGCTTTCTACATAGTTCAGATAAGCAGAATTTTTTTTTGAGAGGTTTTTGCTATAGGGCGCGTGCGCTCGCCAGACAGACAGGGAGAGACAGAGAGAAGAAAGCAGGAAATCAGCCACCAGGGGGGATGGCCACACCACAATCCCTTCTCCTCCATTCTCCTCTCGGGATCTTGGGCACGCACGCACACGCGCTTGGCAAGAGTTTAAGCCACCGGGTCTGGGACTCAAACCGCGGTCAACTACATGGGAGTCCAGTGACATACCATTACGCTAACTGCTGGTCCCAGATAAGCAGAATTTTAGCCATATAGAAGTGTCTCCTTGGCATGCTGTTCCCGCTACTTGTTAGCCACAATAAGAAGCCTCTATGGCTATAAAGACGGCAAACTGCAGCTGTTCTTTGGAGCTCTCTGACACAGAATTTTTTTCTAGGTTGTGAGCAGCATCACCTAAAGGAACTTTCGTTTCTGATCCCCTTGTTCCCTGGGAGATCCCTAGCTCTCCTCTTCAGGGTTGGTGACTCCCATGCCTCAGCCTTTGGGAGGTCTCCTGCTGTGAAGGACTCCCTCTGCATGTAAATCTGTCAAAGAAGCTCCCTAAAAAACTCCTGTGTGCTAGTGTACCTCATATCTTGCTCAGCCTCAAAAATACCTTGAACCTCCTACACCATCCTTACAGAGTTTTCCTTGGCCACTGAGATGGTGAAAGTTTTCAACACACATTTTTGCAGGAAAATAAATAAATAAATAACAATTTCTTCAGTTAATGCAGTTGGGCCATTTGTAGTCCCAGAGCATAACTCCAGAACTTTGCTGACAAAGCCACAGACACAGAATTTCCATGTTTCAATGTTTTTTTTTTTCCCCTTCATATTCTATTGACTTGTGACTCTTAAAAAGTACCATTCATTTCTATCAATGTTAATATGAACTTGAGGTTTTCAACTCTCATAGTTTTCATGACATTTTCTTATGTCATTGAGATTACCTGGTTGGCTTTTTCTTTTTGACATAATCTTAGATGTATCAGACAGAATTTTGGAATTGAAATAAATTAGTATCTGACACTCAAATCTCCTTTACCACATTCTCAACCTCTATCTGATAAACTAATGATGAGAAACAGTTTTCCAAAGTAGTTTATTCCATCATCAAATAGGTTTCTGCTAGGATATTACTCTCCATGTTGAATTAAAACATGTCTCCCTATAACTTTTACCTATTATTTCTAATTCTGTACTTGCGGGATGCTGTAGGACTAATTCAATTCCTCTATTAAATGAACAACCTTCATTTGTTCATAGTCTTCTGGTCTGCAACTTAGATATTCCAGGTTTTCTACCATTACTAATTTTTCATACTTCCAAGTTTCCTCTCAGATGTCTTTAAATTCACCAGTGAGACATATACTTCCTTTTCCTTTTTTTACATTTAACTTATTTTATACATTCAATTACTATACATTACTTAGCTTGTAAAGTGAATTTACCCAACATGAATACACTTCACAGCAGTCTAGTTGAGAATACTATATATATTATCATCAACAGATAATAATCCATTTCTGTTTCCTATAAATGTCTTGTCTCTCTATTTTTTTCTTAATTTCTTTCCTCACACTCTCTCCCATCTCCCAACCTCTTCTCACACTGTCTTCACTATTTTATTTATTATTATTATTTTTTAAATTTGCCATAGGACACATGCACCAGAGAGAGAGAAAGGGAAAGCAAGAAGACAAGCCACCAGGTCCAGGAATTGAATCATGGTAGGCCATGTTGGAATCCAGCACCTTAACCACTATGCCACCTGCTGACCTCGATTATATATTTCTTAAATTAAGAGACACAGAACACATGTCAGACTCTGTATCTGATCTATGTAGATCCAGAAGGGGTTTCCCCTTCCGTATTTTGAACTGTTGCTATTGCTTCCATTTATACATTCTAAATTCTATTCAGTGTGGCAATCATATATTGATTTAAACATTTTTTATAATAATTTTTATTGTAATTTACTTTTCCCTTTCTTTTTTAAAATTTTTACATTTAATAACTATATATCTTTACAACATACAAAATAAATTTTCCCAGAGTGAAGATACTGTTCATTAATCCAGTCAAATATATAATCACACACATAATCATCAACATAATTTTTCACTTCTGTATCCATTAATTTTTTTTCTTTATTTTCCTTGATTCCCTCCCTCCTGCCCCCTGCTGCTCACTCTCTTCCCACACTGTCTCTGGTATCCACAGTTGATCACCATGCTCTCATGTCATTTCTTTTTTAATCCTTTTTAAATTTAACTTAATTATTTTTTAGTTTGAGAAAACTCTTTATTCACTTTATTATAAGATGTGCTACACCAAGAAGATGAAGATATTTTCTTTTTCAAATTTTTTATGTTTTATTTATTTTTACATTCAATCACTGTGATCACTACAGCATACTTTCTTTTTAATACATTTCATCACTTCACATCACTTTGCTTGTAAGTTAAATTTGGGAAAAGGGGGAGAGAATAAGGAAAAAATTAAGAAGGAAAATAGAGAAGCAAGACAGTTATGGTTCACAGGGATGAGTTACTATCTGTTGAGGATAACGTGGTTAGTTATTTATTTATTTATTTGGATAATGTGTTTTGTATCCTCCTCTGGACTGGTGTGAAGCGTATTCATGTTGGATAAATTCAACTTACATAGTATTGATTTAATGTTTACTTCAGTTTTCTCTGGCTGGAGTGAGCATGAATGGATAAATCCACAAGATGAGTGAGGCAATAGTTTGCAGACCACTATAAATAGAACTGTTGTTGCTGATCCAGAATTCACAACATTCCCAACAGCTGAGGCTGGTATATGGGCAGAGTTGTCGAAAGAACAAAACAGACAGATAAGGTTTGGAGATGTTTTATAAATTCTTTGCAATACTAACCTCTCTCCTTATATTCTTTAGCTTCATAGAAACTCCTGCACTTATATTTTTATTCCCAAGTCTAGCATCATCTTTTTTTGTAGGAAAACATATATATATATATATATATACATATATATATATATATGTGTGTGTGTGTGTGTGTGTAAATAATAAATATATATGTAAAAATATATATAGATGCTTTTACTGAAATTTTTTTAAGAGGGTTTTGCTATAGGGCGTGTGCACTCGCCAGACAGAGAGAGACAGAGAGACAGAAAGCGAGAAATCACCCCCCCAGGGAGAATGGTCATGCCACAATCCCTTCTCCATTCTCCTCTCGGGATCTTGGGCACGCACACACACGCACCCGGCGTGAATTTTAAGCCACTGGGTCTGGGACTCGAATCGCGGTTGACTACATGGGAGTCCAGCGACATAGCCATTACGCTAACTGCTAGTCCCTCTACTTACATTTGATATTCTGGTGCAAGGCCTAAAGCCAAATTATTCTTCAGATTAGAACCAGTCCTCATCACCTTTCCCTTTTTTCCCTAGAGGCTGGGCTAATTTAGATCTCAGTTAAAGAAATATTTTTTGAGACCAGGCCAAACTTTCTCACTGTTGTCTCTAGATGAGGCCATTGGGAGAAGTTAGGTAATCTAGAAGGGTCAAAAACACACCTTAGCACATTTGTTAAAAACATGGGAGGCACAGTGGAGTCCGTCTGTAAGGCCTGAGTGCACTCACAGCATGCTCTGGAACACCAGACTTCTAGGATGGGCCATCCAAGACAGAATGGCCATGGATCCGAATGTGTCTCCTACATACTCTTCTTTAGAGCAGGGGTGTCATTGGTCCTTCCTAAATGAGGAAAAACCTTAGTTCCCTTTACATTTGCATGCAACCACCCTTTCAGGCTGTTTAAGCAAGTCAGTCAGTGTGCAGGCTCCAAATAATTGCTATGTTTGGTGTTAACTTCCTACACTCACTCCCGTTAAGAAGCCTGCTAAGAAACTTAGATGTGAGCACCACTGCACTCATCTTGGCTGCATTCGTCCCCCTGCTGAAATGAGACACCAGGACAGGCTGACTGGCATTCTCCATGAGAAAGAAACCTGGGCGGATGTCCACCTCCCACCAGATTCTACCATTCTCACACTATATCCCAGGTAAGATACAGAGCAGATGTTTTTCCTCCTGTCTTTTCAATTTTCCTTAAATTCAGATGTTAGCTGAGTCACAAAATCACATAGACTGAGAATAAATTTTGGAATGACAGCTTTGTTCTGTACCTTGTTACATATGCCTATCACAAATGTTGGAGTCCCTGATCCTGAATATTGAGCAGAAGTTAAAGAATGTTTTTCCATTAAAGCACACTGGTTAACTAAAGAGGAAAAAAAAAACAGGGACTGTGTGTGTGACCCAAAATCCTGAAAGAGAATGGAAGAAAAG